TTTAAGCTTGTGTAATGAACATATACGGCGGTGAGAGTAAACAGAGGCAATATAAAATTGAACAAAATATCCATGTGTTTTACACATACAAAAGAAAGAAAAAGATTCCTGAGTAGTTCCTCATTCCGTGACATTATAAACTATATAATCATTCAAATGTTGCGGGGCACGTCTGACGCGTCTCGGTCTTGCAGCGGTGGAAGGGGGTACTGGATTACTGCTTCCTCCGTCTTGTGATTGGGCCTGGGTTTCACTCATGAGAGGACGGAGGTGCCGTCTGTTTCTTATGGTGGCTCTTCCACTGCCATCAAGCCTTACCAAATACTGTCGAGGTGCTGTCAGCTCTACAATGGTGCCCAACCGGTCCTAACGCCCGCTGCTGGGGTTCTGGATACAGGCGCGTTTTCCTGGTTCAATGGGCGTGAGGTCATGGTCTGACACGTTGTGTCTTAATGAGGCATTTTTTCCCAATTGTTGCAAGGCTCGTTCACGGCTCCTCAGTAACCGAGACCACTGCTCGCTGACCCTATAATTCGAGCATGTCTACTGGGATGGCATCTCTTAACTGACGCCCAGTCAGCAGCTGGGCTGGAGAAGCATCAGAGTTCTGTAGAGGGGTGTTGAGGTATTGCATGAGGGCTTTAGCGGCGGCATCAGTGTCCAGAGATCCATTCATCATAGTGTTGCCTCGTAATATCCTCTTAACGGATTTGACAGCCACTTCTGCACGTCCGTTGGACTGGGGATAGTGAGCCGACGAAATTCTTAGCCACACACACCATGCATCGAAAAAACTCCTTGATTCTTGGCTGATAAGATTTGTACCCCCATCACATGACAGCTCCTCTGGGATTCCAAATCGCCTGAACCACCTCCTGAAGACAACTATGAGACGTGCACTTGTGGTGTCCCCTGGTAGATGTTCCACTTCCAACCAACCTGTCAATCTGTCGGCGTAGGCAATGTAGTTCTGGCCGTTGAGCTCGAACAGGTCTGCTACGACCTGCTGAAATGGGTACTGGGGGGATGGTGTTAGCATGAGCGTTTCTGCTGGGTTGGAAGGGGCACATGTCTCACATACCTGGCACTGGCGCCGCTTCTGTTCCACTTCAGCATCAATGCCAGGCCAGTAGACTGACTGGCGTGCTCTGCGGAGCATAGAGTCTCTACCCTGATGACCTGCGTGGAGATTAGTGAGCACAGTACGTCTGAGGGCCATGGGGATAACCAGACGTGGTTGTTTCTCATCATTGGTGTACAAGATAAGATTTCCTTGGCATGACAAGTGACGACGCATCCTGAAATATGGCCGTAGAGCAAGCGGCTCCATGTCCTTGCGGTCAGTCCAGCCCTCGTTGGACACACATTCATGTAGCAACCGGTATTCTTCATCCTTGGCTGCTTCCTCTTCGACCTGTTGGATGTCCACAACACGCCCTCCATCACCTTCAACTGCTTCTGATGCAGCTGCTACTATGGTTGCACACACCAGTTCATCATCGGCTTCATCGGACTCCTCTGGGTGGCCCAACAGCATTGGGTACCGAGACAATGCATCTGCTGCACAGTTCGTCTTGCCTTTCAGGTATTTGATACGGAAGGAGTACATGAGCGTCCTCTCTTTAAGGTTCAAAATACGAGGGTTGTTGATGTCCTTTAGTTCCTTATCACCAAAAATTCTGGTGAGAGCTTTGTGGTCGGTGATGAATGTGAGGTTCCTACAGCCCAGTAGAAAGAGGCGCGCCTTCTTGAGGCACCATGCGATAGCAAGGGCTTCCCTTTGAGGGTACTGTAGTTTTTTTTCTGCAGCCGTTAGGTGCCTGCTACCACACAACACTAGTTTCCACCCGCCTGTGCAGCACAGCGGTGACTCCTGAGATATACACTGGCAGTACTGTTGCATGACAAGAAATCCAATACCCTGGCGACTGTAGTCAGTGAATGCGGCCGTTGGACGTGAGACGTCATAGTAGCGTAACCCTGCAGCAGCCAGCTGTCCAATGGTATCCTTTGCCGATGAAAATATGGCTTGCAGCTGTTCGTCCCAGTACACCGACTTCGCTACTGGCTTCTTTAGGAGCTCTCTAAAGGGCTCCATGATGGGGGCCACTGCCAGGAATGGTGCCACTTGGTTGACCAAACCAAACCATGCACGGACATCGGTTAAAGTGGGCCGGGTAGGCATTGTGAACTCCATAATGCTCCTGACGAGGTCCTTGCTGGGTTGGTATTCTTCCCAATCAAGAACGTACCCAGCGAATGTAACGCTTCTTTTGCAGAAGTGAAATTTGTCTGGTCTCAGGGTTACACCATTCTCCATGCACTTTAGCAGGAAGTCATATGTGTGCCAGAATGCCTCAGCAATACTCCCGTCGTACAACAGCGTATCATCAACACACTTCATCTTTCTGGGCACAGTGCTGATTATGTCATCGAGGCGTTTAGTAAATGCATCCTGTGCAGCACAATGTCCCATGGAGTTCTACAGTATCTGAATCGACCCCATGGGGTGATGAATGTTGTTAATTTGCGGCTCTCCTTGTCAAGTGGTATTTGATGGTACCCAGAGTATGCGTCAGCTACAGTCTTGAAGGTATGCTTTGGCACACTAGTGATGAGGTCAAAGGGGGGCCTTGTGTGGTGTGTTTCTCTCATGCTCGCCCGATTGAGCCGCTGGAAATCGACTGTCCTACGGGGTCTTCCGTCCTTCTTGGGTACAACCATTCGTGAACACCATTCAGTTGGTTCACCAGCAGGTACTGCTTCAATGATTCCCTTTTTGATATCATCATAACTGTTGTCGCACTTCATCGTAGAAGTGGTGTGGCACTGTAGCTGGGACATGGACTGCATGTGGGCGTGCGTCTGGACGCAGGTGGATGTGATGTGGCGCGGACCTTGCATTTCTGGGAGGGGTGCACGTCCCACAGCAAATACCGTGCGCCCAAAGTGTTCTAGGAACCATTTCTCTAGACGGTCCACATTCTCTTCTACCAGCTCGTAAGGTGGCTCCTCTGGACGTGTTGGGACCTGTGGGATGTCTAGGGTGCTACCGAACAGATGGATACTGAGTGGCATGGGAACTCAGGCGGTACTAGACATAACGACTTGCATGCTCCGAGAGACAGGTAGAGACGCTCGACCCCGTTTGCAAAGAAAATGCGTTCATTCGTAGTAACAGGACCCACCACAAGCTGGCAGATCAAGCTTCCAAGGAGACGCACGCCCCCCAGCAACATGATTGACTGCTACAGGTGCTGGTTGTAGTTGGTGCTGCAGGATGCCAAGATTGTTCAATAATGTGCGCCCTGCCATGGACACCTGGGCGCCAGTGTCTGCCACAGCCATGGTCGAGCACCTGGCGCGAAGGTTACCACAGACAACTATAACAGGCAAGGATGCCAATGTGTCCACACTCCCTACTGTCACTGCACTGGATGTGACAGCACTGCCTTTTGGGGTGAGGGTTGGGCACTGGCGCCAGAAGTGCCCCTTAAGTCCACACGAGCGGCAAACAACCCCAAAGGCACGACATTGGCGGTCTCCTCGACAGTCACTGTCCCCATCCCCTGCAGCGTTTACGACCACGTCTGGCTCCAGTGTAACGTGAAGATTGCTGGTCGTTAGGTCGACGTGATGCGCCTGACGCTGCTACTTCAATATGTGTGGGGTCCGGGAGGGGGATGGTGACTTCATGACCGGGTCCTGTAGCCAACACACTTGCCACATTACCTACGGCACTCCGACCTGCTGCTTTTTCAGCAGACTCTATTACCTCACACGTACGAATTATGTCATTCACTGATTCAAGGCGGGGGATGCACCTTAGCACTTCTGCCTTCATGCTACGGTCGCTTAGACCCATTACCACTTTCTTACCTAACATGTACTCATCTAAGGAGCATCGACACTTAGGGCACTGGAATTTACACTCACCTGCCATGGCTCGACATTTCGATACGTATGCACATATGGTGTCACTAGGAGCTTGCGAGTATGTGAAAAAATCGGACCATGCACCGACCACACACCGAGGCCCGATCACTACACTTCTTACAGTGTCGACTGCTGCTGTGGTTGATAGTAGCCGGAATTCCTGCCTGTTCACACGAGCGTCAATACGCTGCTGTACCTCGCCGCTGCACAGGAGTCTTACGTAGGAGGCGGCCAATGGCGGCATCCATCCGCAAATGTTGCCGTAGTCCTCCACACTAACGGCCCCGATTCAAAGGCTGACGGCGACATGCCAACGGTCGCTCCTCCTGGCCCTGACGGTGGGAGCGGTGGCCGTTGATTCTGAGCTACTGGCCAAGCCGTCCTTGCTGGGGTCGGGGTGAAGTCAGGGCTGGGAGAACTGCCTAGGGAATGCTATAGGAGGCACCAGTGATCTGGCCGGTGACTGCACATGGTCAGCTCTCCCATCTTTTGTTTCACTGGTTGCTTGCACAAATACCACGCCCTCGTTGCTAACGGGCACCTCCGAAATATCCTCGGTACTCATCCTACTCACTGCGCCATGTAGGAGCTGGAGGTGATGAGAGCAAACGCAGGTATGCGTGTATAAGTTTATTTAGAGAAATAACAGGAGCTACGGACACCTATCTCGAATGGCGGCTGGCGGGTAACTACCTCTGGTGCGACTTCATGTCACCAACCAGAGGTAGCATTCGAGTGTGCTGGTAAACACTCATACATAAGACGAATGTAGTGCGTGCATATCCGTATTTTCATCTAGGAAGGGAGGGCCATAACATAGCTTCAAAATGCTCTAATGAACGCTATTCGTTAATTATTTTTGGTTACGTATTAAAGAAAAAAAAAAAAAAAAAAGGAAGAAAGAAAAAATATTTTTTTTATGAAAAAATATAGGTCACTTTCACAGTATCATAACAACTGGCCCAGGTTTTCTCTGGAATTTAGATAAAGGATTGTTCACCAAAATTTCCCTTGAAAATTAAATTTTCATTATAAATTCTTCCTTTTGTAGCAAGAAAAATCAGGCGACTGTAACTATTTATCAGTGAACATTTCATTATACAATTTATAATACAATAGCCCCCATGTCAGTGCTGCTGGGGTCTTCCCCTAGTAATGATTCCCATTTAGTATTCTTTATTTCTACTATGAAAATCTTCCGATTTGTAAAAATTCTAGAGCTTTGTCCATGCACAGCCATATTACATGAATATTATAGATTCTATGAAGGAATTATGCTACGGACATCAAAAAGAGTGTAGCAACGTACAGATGTTGAATTATGTCCATATAACTGAAAGGCTCAAGACTGTACAAATTTTGTTTTCGTATATTTATTGTATATAATATTGCTTAAGAAAGTAGAGTTTAATGTGACAACAGATTAAACGAAATTAGATAAAACTTAAATTATGTTTCTATGACTAAGGGTAATTCAAGCCACCAACAGGCCTTATGGAACCAGGCTACATCACATTAAATGCTCATATTCAGAGACACTTAACACTTTCTCCAGGGGGATGGAGGACCTCCATCGATTGGTCAGATTAGTTCTGATTGGCTGCAGCGCCAGGTAGCTCAACGGTGAATGGCTGATGGGTAAAAGAATATGCTTCGTAAGTGGTGTCCGAAGTGTCTCTTGATATGAGAGAAAACCCTAATAACAAAGTGGAGGCTTCTCTTGCGGTTTCTTAAAGATTTAGGATCGCAAAGTTCTATGGAATAAAAACAAATCTAATACGTAGTAGGTCTCGGGCAGATCAGGTAGACTATCCTGAACCATAGCCCACCCCACCTTCTGAGAATGGGTCCTTATGTCTGTTCCCTTTTGTATTGTGGTCTGGAGTTTTTGAGTATACTAAAACACGTATATATTAGAATTAACAATGACTTGATGATACTGAATTCTTAAAGGCCCACTAGAAGATGCAACCTCGTAAGTAGACGCACCCTGAAGTAAAGAACGGTGGTTGAATATCCTACATAATGACTTTATTTGTGGGTACGGATTTTATTGGATCTATTCCAACCACTGGAAAAGATCCAAATCAAATGAATCATAGATCTCTGAATACTGTCCTGATTATCTGTCTAAAGCCTTCAGTTCCAAACATTGGTTCCAATACGA